ACCTGCAGGATGGTTTTCAGGTAAAAATTAAAATAAATATCTTATATATACTGTATGTTTGTCTCTGCAATGTTCGTTTCTATAGGAGTATGTGATTTTTCTGGATTTTTTCAAATTAATGTTAGCAGTGTTTTATTAAATGTGATCATATAAATAGTAGCCTATACTTATTCGGTATAAAGATAAATATTGGATGTATTCTCCTATAAAGAGCTCATCTTCTATTTCCACATTTTGGATGAACTACCAGAGTTCCAATATATTAACCTCGACTGTTACAAATAGTCATCAGACACTATTATTATTATTATTATTATCATTTATATAGCGCCAACAGATTCCGTAGCGCTTTACAATACTATGGATCCATTCTCTAAACTGTGCAAAATGAGGCACAAAATTCGATTTGCAAAAATAAACCTCAACCTTGGGCACTTTATTTTAACAAACTTATTTTACCCTAGACACCTGAATCTCACCTGTCTTCCCACTAATAACTGTTTATTGAATAGACACCTATGCATACAGGTAACTTGCTTGTGTAACAGAAATGCACTATGTGCCTCTTGGCAGGGACTATGAGGGGTACACAATATTGCTAATCTCGATAAACCATCGCTTTCAATTAAATGAAGCAGTTTGATGATAGTAATGTATCCAGTTTAACACCCAGTTTATTCTACATATTAACCCATCCCAATCATGGCTAAACTTGGCACTATATTGCCCAGGAGCCTAGCCATCCTTTAGGGGTATAATAGTAATATAATAATAGCCTGTATCTTAACATCATTGCACAGCCTAATAGGGCAATGTTTTATTGTGTATGTAATAAAGTGAGATAACTGTAATATAATATATATATGTTCTAATAACCTTAAGTGTAGCTGAGAGTAATGTGAGTTGCAGTCCACAAACCCTTGGGGTGTAATATTTAGCCATGGGTGAATTATATAACATAGGGTAATGACAGTATACAGAGAGGTAACTTCTCATTGGAGTTAGAGAACTTAACTTTTTTTATCCCTCATCAGGCACAGCCATGTTTACATTGGTTCTAGTTCCCCATATATTTAAGACATTATGTCTGACTTTACCTTGAAATGTGAGTAAGTGTAGTCTTGTAAAGCGAGGGATCATCCTTGGCCCCTGCTGTGTGGGGTCTGCAGACTGGAGTGCAGTAAATAAAATGCAATTATTAGCTCTGCAGCGAGATATAGTGTATGAATTATGATCCTGGAGAGACTCTGTGCTTTGGATGGAGAACATGTGTGTTTGTGATCATATGGGACAGAAGTAATCACTAAAAAAAAAATTACAAAAAATACCCTGTGTGTGGTCCTTATCAGGAGATACCAGCTGTGAACCTCGGTTATATCTCCACTTATATACAGTATGTACAGCCACTTACTGGGGTGCAAGGTGTCTGCTGGGGGTCATGATTTTAAACTTCTCGTGTTTATAAATGTAAGGAAATAGAAGATATTATATATATTATACACATGGGTACACGCAGACTGAGAGCATTTACAAGCGCAATACACATATTATTTTGTGTATAAAATTTGAGGACATTTAATTTAACTTGAAATTTAATCTAAATAGGAAATTAATAAATTTGTATTTTTTTTCTTTAAGTAATTTTTTTATTTTCTTTATAAAGCTGTTGTTGCTCTGGCCATGGGTAGAAGGTCTGATTTGGGAATCACAATGATCAAGGTGTTTAATCCAGGCAGCTCATGGCTGTCCTTGTACGCAGATCCCAAAACAAATGCACTCTCCTTTAAACCCCACATTCCCTGAGCCTTTGATCTCTCAATATTTTGTGCCGAACAAAAATCAGAGATCATATAACATAAATCCTACCTTTCATGTATCATCCCTTCCACACAGGAGAGGATTTGCAGGCATGTAACATTTGCCCTCTATATAAGGAATGGGGTAGAAAAAGAAGGGAACAAGAACAATTCAAAATTAAACTGATTTTACCAAAACATTACTATTTTATTATTATTATTTTTTTGCAGAACATGATTGTGTAAAATAAAATTTAGACCTGATCCCAACACAGACCTACCTCCTTTCAAGCCCCCAAACCAAGCTTTCGTTCACCCATGATCTGTTCTTTTAAATCTCAGCCTTGGTTTTACTACAACCTAGAAATTCAAGCTTCCATCCTGATTTAACCCTTTCAGGGACAGATGCCCCCTCTGGCATACAAACTGTTAAATTAACCCCATGCTCCACAGAACTTTGCAAAAATGAACACACAAAAAAAAGGCCAAAAAAAATTGATTCTTACAAATGAGCCACTTTAGATTCATCGTGTATTATAATTGAGTCAAAATGCTGAAACTCGTTGAATTGTAACTGAATAAATAAAAGCAGACACTTGGCTATAGACCCAAATATATGTATAGGAAATGTTATCTGAAAGGAAAGCCTCTTGAGGCTTTGTAATATGGTGGATGTGTTTTTATAGAATTACGCTGCGGTAACAAAGTAGCTGCCTAATATTTACTAATAAAAATAAGTCGGTGGATTCGAAATACAGGAATGTAGCAAGTGGGAGATAGGCGGATGAATGTGCAGATCAGAAGTTAGTTCATTGTATTTTGCAAGTAATCAATTCTGTTTTTTATATGCTACAAAAAAATTATTATATTTATGTTTTTTATTACAAGGACCATGTTTTACAAAAAAAAATGTGCAATGTCATATTAAGAAGAATCACACGGGGAACTTTGTCCCTATTCATTCCTTCACTTATAGAAATGGAATAGCGCTGACATTGTCAGTGGCTCTGCTCTGATAATCATTTGAAAAGCACGATACAAATAAAAAAAAAATTCAACAAAAATTAACACTTTTATTTCGTTTACTCTGGACTGAGTGGAGAGTGGATTTTGGAAAAGTGATGCTAATGGTTGATTTTTTTTTTTTTTTTAAATCCTTATGTATAAATGTATAAATGTATTTTTTTCGTACTTGAAAAATGTCTATAAAACATTACTGGAAGAGAAAAAATAAAACATTTCGTTTAAACAAAAAACTTTAGCTAACATAATTAATACCAGTTTGATTAAAATTCGTTATTATAGCTATTAGCTTGTTTGTTTATTTAACGTAAAATCGTTTTTGTTTTTGCACCTATCTGTGTAATTATATAAAATATTTCCTGGGAGTGTGTACATGAAAATGATTGTTAATTGATGTTTTCATTTTATAATTAAACAAAAGATTATTTCGACTATATAATTCTTAATTAAATTAAAGGATTTGGCACCTTGCTATTAAATGAAACTAATTTGATTATGTTTAACTCTGGTATTTTCAAACATTTGGAAGATTTTTAATATAGATAGTAAGCCTAAAAGGTTTCCTAATATGTATCAGACTATGCGAAGTAAATATTGATGTCATTTTTGTCAATAAATGTATGTGTCTGCGTACAGTTTTTCTGTTAGTGATCAATGAATGAGCACATTCAATATGTGATATATCAAACAAACAAAATCTATCACTTTCATCATTGTAACATCAACTTGCAACAAAATAACTTCTAAGAACCCATTAGGAGTATGTAATAAACATTGATTGATATGCTCAAATAACCCAAGAAAAGTCGATTTTTGGTTGTTGATACTTTTGGTTTCATGTTGAACCAATTCAGAGAAATTCACTAAAATAAGAATTTAAAGTGAATTTCATATTTAAGGCCAGAGTAGCTGATTTTGTTAAGCATAACTGATTTAGAGATTTTTTCCAATTCAACTATTTTGACTTTAAATTTGGAATTCACTTTCAATTAATTTTGAATGCTAACTTTAGCGATTAACCCTGAATTGTGTCTACAAGTGAATTGATGTTGAAGTCAATGCGTGGGTCTGGGTAAAAGGACAGTTAGCTGTGCAACAATTTGGAATTACTACTTGCTATCATGATTCCTTGGCTGCATAGCCTGTAATTGCTACAGGATTTCAATGAGTTCAAATGATGATACATTTAATTAGAAGCTGTGTTCATGGGTTCTAAATCAGGATAAGATGACCCAGTTATTGCAATCTGTCAAATCAAAGGTGGGATGTCATGTTATCAATACACATGACAGTAGTGTAAAATGAAATATTTCCTCTAATTCATCATGTTGCTGTCTTTGTGCTTTGTATCAATCCATTATGAGCAGTGCTTGTAGCCTGGAATTAGACATTTAAACCATTTAAATAACATGAGTCATGATCGTTTTTTCCCCAAATCTAATCTGAGACAGCAATTAATGAATTGCATTTTACATACAGTGCATTGCTGTAAATGTAAAATGACTGTAAATCAGATATCTTCAAAGGTCTCCTAGCAATTGTAATTGTGTGTCATCTATATCCAAAATAATGATTAAGATTTGCACAAAAGAAAAGGTACATGCTTGCAATCAATAGCACATTTATGTGATTATACACCATAAAAAAAAAGGTTAAAAAAAAAATTCTAAAAAAAAAATTACAGACCTCAAGGATAATGTTTAGAGTCCAAGAAGTGTACAGTAATTCCGTAAACTGCACTTCATAAAACATTCTTCTGTAAATACATTCCCTCTGCAGTTATTACAGCTGGCATGGCACAAAATTAGTTATAAATAGCCTCAGCCAGCCAAGAAGTGATCATCCTTTTAGAAAATGGGAGATTTCTGTTTTACCAACAGGGAGGTGTATTATCCTATGCAAAGGCAACCTTGGATTTTTAGGGTGTAACAAAAAAAAAAAAAATTAAAAAAAAGGGAAAAAAAGCGGTTCCTTTAAGACCCAGTTGCTATCCAAACAGAAGTAAACAGAATGATCCATTAGAGATGCTGCTGAGTGGAAGGGGCGTGGCTGCATGATTGCACTGGGCGGGGATAGAATGTTACTACTGCTAACGTTCCATGAGTGGGTGGGGCCAGGAGAGATGTTTGCAGCTGGAGGGCGGGGTTAAGGCTTTGCAAGGCAGTGAGGGCTGAAATGTGATGGATCTTATAGGCTGTTTCTCAGACTTGAAGCAAACTTTTCAGGAGTGAAAGCAGTGAAGTGGGGACAGGGAGCAGAGAGAGGGCTGCAAGCCCTGCCATCCATAGGACTTTCCTTTCAATCAGTGCCCCTGCAGACCTACAGCATGATGAGTCCTGAGGCTGGGACACACTGGGGGAAGCTTTGCTGAGATTATATGGTGGAAACAATTGTGTGGATCTAATGAAAGAACAGAGAGGATTTGGATCCTTGGTGGAACTTTTGGATTGAGGCTGCAAGGATCCAGCTCCTGTACTAGGTGAGTGTGCAGTACCCAGAGCTCAGGGAGACCTTTACCCAGCCTGGAGCTACTTTATTGGGGGGAGAGGGGCTGCAGGGCCTGTTTGATTCTGCAGGAAAAGTTCCTGTTAATATCTCACTTCGTATTACTTGTTGCAATCACAGACACAGTTTCACTTCGAACTTTATTACCAAAACAAGCTTTCTGACACATATTCACTCAAACTGAAAATATCAAAGAAGAAAAGCATAGGTGATCTCTAAGTACACACATTGCATAATATATTCAATATATATATGTTGTATTTTTTCAATAAGATAATTAACAGTCGTTATAATTATAACATTTATTGATGTTATATCATCGTGGGGGGAGAGGGGTAAGTACCAGGCAGGGAAAGGGTTAAACCCTGGATTTGGTAGGTCTATATAGATAGATAGATTATACTGCATGGAAAACAGGAAGGGTTAGACACCAGGTAGGTGGTTGTGAATGACAGATGGGCCCTGTGGCTTTGCACTCCCAGCACAGAATGAGAATCTTGATCAAATTATCTCTTTATTTGGATGTGTTAAGGAGCTGTCTGCTGGGTTTCCAAATTTTACCAGGGATAATTAGTAGGGGTGCAGTGAAATCCAGTGCAGAAATGGCATCTTAATAGCTGTCCCACCATGAAATGTAAATCTCATCGTAGAAGGTACAACTGGCTGCTGTTTTCCTTATATTAATTCTAATGACTCAGGTTCATTTAAGGCTTGTCATACAAATAAAGTGACCATGGCCTTTCTCCATTGATTTAATATTTCTTAGACATGTGTCCATCGTGTTGTACAGATGTTTTTACTAAAATAATCTTCCAGTCTGTTCATCAAATGCAAATTCGGTCTGTCTCTCTTTAAATCTACTATCAGACTCCAGAGAATTGTAATTCTAGATTTAAATTTGTTTTACGGTTTAAAAACTCCAAAACTTCTCCTAAACATAACACTGATTGGAGATTGCTGTTTGGAGAGAATTAAAATATCACTTAAATACAATATCTCTCAGACAGTCAGCTGATATTTAGCCACAAATGCACAACGTTGTTTAAAGCCGTACATAGCTGTATATAGAGCTTCTTGTTTAAAACATTTTAGTATTTTGGAAAATAAAATTTAGTACATTTTAAAGTTTCGGTTTTAGGGTAAAATCTCTGTACTTCCTTCGTGTAACTGAGCCTGTATTAGTATTTGTACATATAATCAATAGGTTTAACAAGTGGCATTAAACTCAGGGATGTGGATTTTAAAAAATATATATTCTTGGGGGGCTGGGAGTGTGATTTGGGGTTTGCTTCTAAATGTCACTAGCTGTTTGTATGTCGTTTGTGGTGGGATTTTTTTTTTTTTTTTTTTTTTTTAACGGCAGCCAAAACTGTGTTTTTAATATCTAAGTATCATATAGAATAGGGCATTGAGCTGACGTATTACAAACACGAGTCTTTTTATTTTTATTTTTACATTAAACCATTTTTTTTGAACAACTGAAACAGACGTAAAACATGAGTTTTTACTGATAACTATTTTTTTTTTTTCTAAGACTGCGAGCTTTTACTCTTTTTATACTTTGTAATAATGATCTATATGAGGAAAATCCCCACTGATCTCTTGGGAATCAGAATCCTGATTAGTGTATATAGAATTCATAACGCGTTGGAGTAAATTCACTAAACAGCGAGTTTTACTGCGATGACAGCTGATTGGCAGAAACATCAAAAATATGTTTCCAGTTCTGTCATTCCCCCCAACAAATTAAAAGTCCATTGTCCACCCAATATTCCCTAAACAATTAGGTTTAATTTAATTGGGCCAGATTTAATTTTATCTATGGTATAATTAAAGAAATGAACTACCCTGTCTAAATACAGTGTGTCCTAAATGGCTGCAGTCCAATATACTATGGTGGTTGCCATTCAGCCAGCCAGACAGGTGGATACATACATTGTATTCAGTTCGTGTACTGTATGGACACATTGTATGCAGTCACACTGAGATATACTATATAATGAATCTATCCCAAAAGGCTTGATACAAGCATGTACACAGCCCCAAATCAAGCAATGCACTGGGATTAAATAGCCATAGGTATTATATTATGATACAGGTAAGTGACAGGCAGATTAGAGGGTCTCTGGGTGACCTGACAAGTGATCAGGGCTTGGGGACTCTATTGAAGAGTTCATGTTCTGGTCTTGGTTCAGTGGTCTCAGTGAAATCTACTGACTGTCACATAACCCTCCTCCCTCCTCTTTAATTCGGCAACATTAATTGCAAACACAATTGTACCGCGCTACTGTACACGTTGGTGCTATAATTATTTAATTATTAAATGTATTACAAGTAAAAATATAGAAAACAAAACAACGTTCTCTGTTTTTTCTCTTAACGTGATATTTATAATGCAACCCACTAAATATTTGTAAATGCACAGCGCTGTGTACACGTATAGTGGGACATAAACAGGACAGGTTTGTGGAAGAATGAACACATTGCGTGGTGGTATTTTAAATTTAAAAAGAAAATACATATTGAAATAGAGATTTTACATGTACCTGAATGACACTGAGAACAAGACACACAGACCTGTCCCAGTTATGTATCCTTAATTAATAAAAAATAAAGTACCATAGACATGTTTGTTTTCATTTACAATCTCCTGTTTTATTTAATAAGACTTCAGTGATATTTTCGTATCCTGCTATTTAGCCATATATGTCTTTACATATCATTTTCATTGAACATTTATTATCCTGTTCTACAGATGCGATCATTTTCTATATTATGGCATAGGAAATATTATTATTGTTATTATTATCATTTGTGTAATTAAACAGAAATCATGTTAAAAGCCTCTTGTCATAAAACCTGTTGGATTCAGAATATCACACAGTTTTTTTTAATGATCTTTGTTTAGAAACTTCCTCCTGCTTAAATAAACACATTAAAATAAAAATATAAAATCTATGTAAATTAGTAAAAGCAAAAATAAGAAATGTAGACATGTTATAGCTGCCGGTTACATAAGGCACAGTTTAAAAAATAAATAAATAAATAAATAAATAAATATGTATATATATATATATATATATATATATATATATATATATAAAATTAATTATATACATTTATATAAATTGGCTAGTAACATTCATGTATACATAAATCACCATATGTAATAATGTTATATATTACACACCAGTAACATAATATAACATTCTGAACAGTTACATAAATAATCACATTATTATATGCATGTCGTTTCAGTACTTTATGGAGAATGCTATATTGTATGAGACTGGATATTGCATGCTTTGACAGTGCTGCAGTGTAATATATATATATATATTATTATAGGACTTGGCAGTATTAATGTCAGACCACGCTCTATGATGGAATTATTTAAACGATTGTTACCAAACGTGGCATTTAATATATTATTTGTGAAACGAGCATGAATTCAAATAAATTGACTTTTCACGTATTTTACTTGAATACTAGAAATCTAATCATGTGAAAATCGATAACAACAAATGTTGACTTGCAAGTATTGTAATTATTATAAAAACGATTAGACATTCTATCGATATAATACCATATAATATTGTACTACCTGTAATCCATTATATAATATATTGTATTTTACATACAATATTGTACTGTTGTTTTATTGAACTGTTAGCTTGCAGTGTATGTATAACAAATATTGTAGCTGTTCTACAAGACTGTGTTTTGTAGTTACTATTTATATTTGTGGATCACAGTCTCCATTATATTGTTGTTAGTGTTAACCAGATCTTCGTTTTGTTAGTTAGTAGCAGTTATTTTTATTTAATAGTGGGGGGATTTAAATGATGGATTTGAACATATTGTAAATAGATAAAATAATTAAATTGGATGGATGGGGGGGCGGGGGTTAATTTAGAAAAGTTGGGGATTTTAACCACGTTTGCTGTTCTCAGCATAACTTTCTGTTAAGTGAAAAGGCCTGATGTCTGTCTGCCCTTGGTGGGTCATTAAGGGACCCGATTTCCCTGGGTACACTCCGTGCCCCTTGTGGAGTGCTCAGGGGGATTGTGTGTTTTTCTGGCAACATGTTTGGGTCTGATCTGTCATTTAAAGAACATTAACATGATTTACCCGGTGAGCTCAGATTCCATCGCAGAATTACCCCTATTAGTCCAATTTATTGTCCCCAATTCCCAGAAAATGTGCCATGTCCTCTCCTATGGGGTCTCCCCAGGCTGCTATCTGGCGTCAGTGTCCCCTGGATGTCACATCTGGGCAGATGTTCCAGGTCTTTGATTGTCCCTCCTGGGTGGCCACCTGGAAAGGAGCTGGGTGTAAAGTGGATTTGGTTAGAACCTGCAGAGTTAGGGAAGTGTCACTTTTCTCTCCTGTTCTTGTATTGATTAAGTACTTACCATTTTCTTTTTTCTTTTTTTTTTTTTTTGTGTAAAAACAAATAACCTGACCCTGATTTGGATAAATAATTCTCACCTCTCTACGTGTAAGATCATTAATTAACTGTATCCAAACTTCACTAGTAAATGGTTTATTCTCCCCGAGCCCGGACAATCCACATACAGACCTTCTAATAGCACCCAGGGGCATTGGACTGTCAAAGAAACACAGCAACATCTCCTTAACCCCTTCACCCCCAGTCCCCTCCAATTCTCTGTGTTTAACATACAAAGTATGGGAGCCTGGACTGCTGACAAATCCTAACAGTGTGTGGAATGAACACCAGTATGTACCAATCACATGCCATGAAACAGATTCTTACACATCACTGACTGTGTGTATAAAGTGAAAGTAACAAGTCTGGCTGTAGTCCATCTAACATGGCTCTAGCCATTAGCACAGCTACTAGTTCTAGTTACAGCACGGGGGTGCAGTTAAAGAGTTTATTAATTATATGAGTGTTTGGCCTAATGCAGACCCCCCACCCCCCACTCATTTATGCTGGGGAGGGGGGTAGCTTTTGTTTCTAATTTTCCCAGAGGTGAAGACTTTTGCAAACCAGTGTTCTAAATAGCAGAACTCCCAATTATTAGAGCCAACTACATTCTCCCCACGTCTTGAATCACTTTGCCTTGACTCTTACAATGCATTAAGGAAATGAGATGCACATTGTCAGTAAGCACAATATTTTTTTTCTTTTCCCCATAGGCATTTCTTATTCTGTCGGCTGTGGATCAGTTCCAGGAGGTGAAGGTGCTGTGACTGGATCAGGTTGGGAAGATGGGAAGTAAAGCTCTCCCAGCCCCAATTCCCCTGCACCCTTCCCTGCAACTCACCAACTACTCCTTCCTGCAGGCGGTGAACACCTTCCCAGCAGCTGTGGACCATCTGCAAGGACTCTATGGGCTCAGTGCTGTGCAGACCATGCACATGAACCATTGGACTTTGGGATATCCCAACATGCATGGCATCACCAGGTCCACCATCACTGAAATGGCTGCAGCCCAGGGCCTCATGGATGCACGCTTCTCATTCCCAGCTTTACCCTTTGCCACCCATCTCTTCCACCCCAAGCAAGGAACCATAGCCCATGTCATACCAGCCCTGCACAAAGACAGACCCAGGTTTGACTTTGCCAACTTGGCCATTGCTGCCACCCAGGAGGACCCACCCAAGATAGGTGACCTCTCCAAACTGAGTCCAGGATTTGGGAGTCCCATCTCAGAGATCAGCAAGTTGTCCCCAGACAGAAAACCTTCCAGAGGGAGGTTACCTTCTAAGACTAAAAAAGAATTCATCTGCAAGTTTTGTGGGAGGCATTTTACCAAGTCCTACAACCTACTCATCCATGAAAGGACCCACACAGATGAAAGGCCTTACACATGTGACATATGCCACAAAGCCTTCAGAAGACAAGACCATCTCAGGGACCACAGGTAGTTATTGTCACATATCTGTCACTGCAATAGCTGTCTACCCACATAGCCAATCACTTTCAGCTCACCCTAAAACGAAAAAATGGGCTAAAATAGTAGCTGTTATTTATTTATTTAACTCTATTTTGTCCCAAAGTTTGTTAATTCGGTTTTAAAACCCAACACTAAACTCTTGGGAGATGCTCACTAATCAGCAAATGATAGGAAGAGATCCCACCTGGCACCTGCAGACTTTGTAACTATACAAAATAGTCCATTTGGAAGAAATGTCTAGTAAGAGGCATGTGTTAAATGTTGCTGTTTCTGCACGTGTTTCTCCAGTCACCACACTTGCTATTTAGTGAATAGAGATCCCTGTGCAAACATTGCACACACAGATTATTCAGCCTTTTATCGTCCGCAGGCTGATGGCGAGTTGGTTGTAAATGATTAAATAATATTAGTGTGAGGGAGGGTTTGTCCCTTAAGGACACATTACATGTGTGACATGTCATGATTCCCTTTTATTCCAGAAGTTTGGTCGTTAAGGGGTTAAACTGGCTGATAAGGACCTGGCTAGGAGTGTTTGAAACTCCGGGGTCTATGTACTAAAGTATCGTTTCTCATCTTAGTAGATAGATTAGGAAGGGGAGATAATTCTCTCTGCAGAACCGTAAATGGGCACTCTGTCTCCCCCCCATAAATTTAAAAAAAATTCCATATCTCTTTTACTGAACTGTACACACAGATGAATACACCCTTCCTTATTTTTTGCTATCACATATTTTGTCACCGTCCGGAATCTGGGTAACAATTTATTATTAGACCTTACTAATTTGGGAGCTATTTGGCAGGCAGTAACCCTGATCCTGTTTAACTCTTGCAGTTGCTAAGGCAGTTTCCATTCTGTTAGTGTTCTGTGTGTAAGGCTGTCTGTGCAGAGTCAGTCTCTGTTTGTGCCATAACAGAACAGTAGGTGGACACCACTTACAGGACATGTAGGTTATATCTGATTGGTGCAGTTTGGTAAATGGAAAAAGCTGCTGCTTGCTACCTGGGGGGAAGGGAGGGTGGACCTCAACTCCCATCATGCTAAGACACTAAAACACAATTTTTTCAGTGGGTTGACTAAGCATGAAAATAATTACAATCCAGAGGACTACCTGCCTTGTAGGATGTCTGACAGTTGTGGGAGTTGGATTGCCATAGAGGGACAGACTATCCATGGCATGAAATCAAATGACTTCCAGGACCTCCTGAGATCAGGGATTGTGTGAAGGTCGCTGTTTTGTGCAGATGAAGTGCCAGATAGAAGCAGGACAATAAATAATGTTTACCTGACACACTAGTGCACTCTAATCATTGCTGGAGAGGGGGCAATCACACTGTGATCAAGATTACTAAACTCTTTTAATGTCAATCTGTCTGGTTAACCATACACAGAGTGACACTCTCTCAACCTGTGAGTGTCTCATTCTCTCTCTATGTATCCCTTGTGATGACCATATAGCAATCTATTCCTGGGACTGATATCTATTACCTGTTTTTTTATTTCCAGGTACATCCATTCCAAAGAGAAGCCTTTCAAATGTCAGGAGTGTGGGAAAGGATTTTGTCAGTCCAGGACCCTGGCTGTACATAAGACCTTACACATGCAGGTGAGATGGCTATACACACAAACACATAACATACCTGGCCATTTAACAGACACAGTGAATGTATCTCAGTATTTAGACAAAGTGACTGAATTCATCTCTCTAAAACCAAATCTATTACTCTCTTCATACACTATATTATTTAGTGTCTTACCACTATTGACACACACTCACAAATGGATACTGTGTGTTGCAAGGTTTTAATTGCAATTTGATGCTCTGAGCCTTTTTGTAGCAAAATAAAATAATGATAAATAAAAATTATATTAATAATAAAACAAATAGATTAAAGTATTTAAAATATATACTAAAATATATAGGAGCGTGATTTTATCATCTCTCCTTCTGGTTTAACCAAATTACCACTGAGAATTTTTCAGTAAAAAAAAAAAAGAGAAAATATTAAATAGATTGGAAAATGTAAACAGTAAAATGTTTTCTATAACAATTAAAAAAAATATTCTACTCTGCAAATTAAATTATAGTTTTATATATCCCCTTTTTAGGAGCTGTTGCAATAGTTTATTTTAAATATAATAAATGCAGACAATTAATATAACTTAGATTATGCAAATGCTTTATTTTTTATAGGTAAGGATATATTTTGTGGAATATACAGAATTTTGTATTTCAATGTTACAGTACCAGGAAAAGGGTCACAATATATTATTCTGGTCTCATGTATTTCCCCATCCGAGAATACTAAATAAAATCAGCCTATTTTTGAGATTATTTGAATGTTTTTCCTGTGTCTCATGTTGTCTGATATAGACCAAAGAAAAAATATATAGGACAAGGAGAGACGGTGTGAAGGATTAATCCTTTGCTTCCTTCAAATCTGCACAGGAATCACCCCACAAATGCCCCACATGTGGAAGGACATTTAATCAGAGAAGTAATCTGAAAACTCACCTTCTTACCCATACAGACATCAAGCCCTTCAATTGTGAGCAGTGCGGCAAAGTATTCAGGAGAAATTGCGACCTCCGGAGGCACAGTCTGACTCACAGCCCCAGGCAAGACTTCTAGAACCGGGCCCAGGTCTATCAAAGGGTTAATATCCATGGACTTACTTTAAAGGACTTCACAGACAAAGCACGAGAACTGAAGCCTACCCTTGCATCAACTTGTAAAAAAAATATATATATATATATATATTTTTTTTTTCTTAAAAAAAAAAAAAAAAAGACAACAAAACAACCAAAAAAGCTCATTTTAGAGCTTGTGTAAATAATGTTATTATTTTTCTATGTCCAGTGTTGGTGCACAATGGTACAGAATTTTTGAAAAGAAAGGTACATTGGGAAAGTGTATTTTAAATAATAAAATCATGCGGATTTTTTTTTCTTTTTCAAATATATATTTATTCACATTATTTCTGGTCCTCTCGATTTTTTTGCTTGGTTTATATATTTTTAAATAAGGGAATGTATTTATTATTATATATTCTGTGAACAATTGCTTTGAGAAAGTTTGTCTTTTTAGCCCTGTGTGTACTGGCTGGTGTTCAAAAGGTTAAATGATTATTTATCTAGATACATTTGCTCTATAATGGGTCCTGGCTCATTGTTAAAACACCTTAACCATTTGTGTGATGGAAGACTGGACAATACTCTCAGACACAAAACTCATTCTAGGGATTTGTGTATAAATTCTGGGGGAACGTTCTAAAAGAGGAGCAACAAGTAGGAACGTTCTAGTGTTGCCATGGTGACTGCTCCACGTTTAGAACGTGGACACAGACTATCTTTGCACAGTGTTTGGGCTGAATTAACTTTTAAAAAATTTAGGGATATGTGCTAACCTCCATGTTTCTAATCAACCAGAAAGAATGGGTCTGTAATAACTTGTGATAAAAGTGGCATAAATTAGCAGCAGAAGAAATACGATTTTTTATATATTTTTTTTACTCATCACTAAATATAACGATTTGTTCAATTCTTCCCATATATTTTAAAGGTTTAAATTGTTTCATAACTAAAATTGTGCAACACTAGCTTGCACTATTATACACTATGATCCAGACACCACGCTATTCACTCCTACTGTGCACTATTATACAATATGATGCTACTCTATGTAGCACTATTCTGATCTATGGTTCACTAATCTTTGCACTATATAGCACTATACCCCTATCGTGGCCTTCATTGTAGTTCCCTATTAATGTCCAGTGTTAAGTATATCTTCCAAAGCAGCAAAACAAGTCCACCACGAGTTACAGTTCTCATATTCTTTATCATAAGGATCTTTTCGCATGTTCGTGACTATAGAGAATAGCTCGTAAAACTAGTGAGTGATCGATAGGTAACATGTAATGGATTGTGTCATAGTAGAGATACTGTTTATACAGATATATTTCCACAGGCTACTCATTGTGTAAATCCACTTTATCTGCTATAAATCGATCTACCAAAAAATAAATATTGAATGTGTTTTAGTTTAACTAAGGACTTTTATAATGAGCAGTAGGTTCTTGTCTCAAAATTAAATTGGCTTTTTTTGATAGAAATATGAGGAGATCATTGTTACTGTGTATTTGGTACAAACCTTACCAAACCGTTATTTGGAAAGTGGAGTATATTTTATTTATTGCCCTATATTCAGTGAACTATTCAATATGCAATACACTCGTTGGATCATTTGTAAATAAATTCACACTGAATGTACTGTAACATTAATAATCATATTAGTTTGTTAAACTACAGTACCCATAATGCTCTGTCTAATAGAAATAGAAATATATATAGAAATTGGGGCATATTCACTAAATTACAGCAAACTGTAGAGTTAAAAACTGAATTACAAAATTAGGGACAAAATAGCTGAAATGTAAGAATTATACAGTCCCACTGTAGACAGATTTTGGCTAGAATAGACTGGATTTTGCTATTCTGTTGAAATTTCACAATTATTATTATGATTATTATTATTATTTATAAAGTTTATTATATTATTATTATTATTTATAAAGTACCAACAAATTCACAGCTAAGTGAATGCACCCTAGTTATTAGTTCATTTAATTTTTTTAATTTTTTTTAGCAGCCCCCCTTTCTCCTTAGTTAGAATTTAAGAGGGATCATAGAACAAGCATGTTATGTATTAATTGCACATGAAGCAGGTTTTCAGTCTAATAGCTAGTGATCATACATACCTAACTAACTACAACTATATACTACAGGGCCTGATTACCAAAGGCAGTATCTGCAAACTGTGTAGATAGACAGACAGATGCAAGATTCCTTGTTGTAATCTAGAATGGAGTTATCAATAAGCAAGGTTTTTCTTTTTGCACTAGAGCCTTCTTATTTAATGGGTATTGCTCATTAATGCTCATTAACGCATAGATGGTAGACGTTTTGCTGGCTTTAAGGTGTTTTTCATAGTCACAGACATGGCTAAAAAAACATGCATTTGGCTCCAGAGGCCACATACTTTTTAAAGGAACAATATTGAGTTTTAATATTGTGTAACCCCCACCCCTGTTTAAAGAGCTACTGGATACCGCTATACGGGTAGTATGGAGTAATGACAGTAATAGTGGAGTATGTTATTTATTTATTTTTAAATAAATTCCCAGCACTTTGGTGATTTAACCGAGTAAGTTTTATACAGTAATTGGTACCATAACAAGTACCAAGATGAAAGAAGTATTTCAAAACAGATCTAAAAAGGAAAATGAATGTAGATTTATAATCCCAGCGTGGGCTCCCAGTATTCCTCGATATAGAAGGTGGTATTTGTTAACCCCCCTGTGCTATGCTGGGACATGCAAGTAGCCATGTGTCCCTCCATACTTCAGTCGGGAGACAGTAAAAGCTCACATGCTCCTTATTTACCCCCTGGGGGAAGCACCTATTGTCTTCCAAAGGGCAGGATAATAAATCCTGATGTATGTGACATGCTGTCTATATAATGCACAATAATAATATTTGAGTTTGCATAAATCACTAGTGAGTTTTATTTTATTGGTCTCAACCTACAGTACTCATTAATTATCTATATAATAAGAAATAAAAAAATATATAAATAGGGGATGCAAACAACTACAGCCTACAGTGTCCTTTATTTAATTTGAGATAGAGGTGTATACAACCCAGTTAATGTCTGCAATGAATGCAGGCATTGGCAAAACAATGACAATGGGCATTTAACAAGAAAACTGTAGAGTGTAACTTCACATTGGGTAGTAAAGAATTCTTGATGGTTGCAGTTTCCTGATACAAGATCTTTAACCAAGGTTCTAAAACTCTTGTAAGAGGCACATGTCATCACAATAACCTTTCTGATCACGGGAGATGTCAGGTGTCTGTTATCAGATTAACAATATCATGTGGTTATCAGATCGTCTCAAGGCTCTCTGCCAAGGACTCCTGGAATTATGCTATAGATCTTTTATCTCCAGTCTTTGAACAGAGTCATGAAGAACTCCAACTAATACTGGGCTCGGCTCACTACAAACAAATATCAATATTTGGATTACTAAGCAGGCCTTTGGCCTTAAAGCCTCTGAAGTTTTTATAAAAAAACAAAAAAAATCTATGTATTGCTTTCGAATTTGGTAAAATCCCAACCTAATTAAAACATAATCATTAGACAAAGAGTAGACTACTGTGGGGGTTCCTGCGGTCATACGGGATCTTCCATACACCCCATTTTACATTCATTTTCATGAGTGCTAATGTGTAGCGCTGATAACTACTACAGCTCAGTGTATTGGTATTGTTTATGTTGCCTTGAGTCACTATGTACTGTCCCTTGGATTTCTTTTAAACCATTTAGATACGCTTTGACAAAAAACAGGACCCTACTCGTACCCCAAGACAATGTCCACCTTGACTGTATTGATAATGCTGGTTTTACGCTTCCACATTATAAATAGTAACTTCTTCCAGCCTGAACAGCATTGATAAGCTACCTTGCCCTCAGCGCTCCACGGGTTAGAATACAAAAAAATAAAATCACCAATAATGTGGAAGTGTAAATCTCACATTATAAATTTGGCTGTGGACAGGGTAGATATATAGAAATGATGTAATTGGTAAACCGAGCCACTTAAGGTATAATAGACAAATCATTTCAGAAAAAAATCATACTGTATGGACGTTCTAGGTACTACAACCACTTAATCTCATTAAAATTGTTATAGTGCCTGGAGGTCAATGGTGCCATCTCTCTGTTCATTGTTAAACTGGTTGTGAATGGCTTAATGCTACATGAGGTTTTGCTGCAGCCAACAGCCCGGTCCCTGTGCTGCTCAGGTTAATGAGGGTACATTGGCCCAAGTAGCATTGGGTAACTGTGATTGGCTAAGAGTGTCAGCTGATCACTCTCGGCCTATTACAGCTGCCAATTGCTGGTATGGACCAGTATGGCTAACGAAGAGTAATCTTGATCCTAGCTATACCTCCAGTGAGGGCCACGCTGTGGGCACCTAGGCACCCTGCTTTTGTAGTGTTAAACCATTATAAATAATAAAAGAATTGCAGTTCAATCAATTAAAACACTATAGGTTTTATTTCCAGATTGTTGTTGATCTATGCCATTACCTTCAAAGCTTACCAAGGTCACTTGCTCTTCATTGGCCTGATGGTTTGGGAAGTGTGAGAGGATTGGTCTTTGTTGGTGTATGTTAATTGACAACACTTCTGTCATGTGTTCAGAGTCGGGACATTCGGGTGACACAAGGCCATATGATTGGGATGAGCAGTGTAGACCAAGAATGGTAACGCCTTTATTCCCATCTGTATAAAATGTAAAAAGCAAGGAAGGACATAAAACACTGAAATGGGAAAATAATCTGGAAATTGCAGGAAAGATAGAAAGTGCTGGGACACTTTCACAGGCCACAAATATACTGAAAGTACAGAAGAACATAACAAAGAAAATGAACTGGAAGAAGAATGGTGGAATGCGATGAATGGCTGTAGGGATTAGCCTTATATGGAAGGATCGTATAAACAAGGAGGGCAATAGGGGGGCAGCCTTTTATCATGAATAACAGGGCATTTTTTCACTCCTCATGTGACAGGAATCTAAGGCTAAAGGCCCAACCAACTGCTGTTGTTTTTCCTGCACTTGGGACTGGGAATCTTGGCTCCTTTTTGGGCAATTCAAGGCTTCCTCACTTGCGGCCTACTCGGGCTGGGAGCGGGGCAGACGGCCCTTCTCTCTTGCTCACCTGCTACACACAAAATCTGTTGCTGGTCCCATTCCCCCCCCCCCTTGGACCGGTGGGGTTTATCCCGGTATCCACTGGGTTTGCTAAGCCTGTTCCAAAAATATTGGATGGAGGAACCCTGCAAGCCACGCGGTTCGCCCAAGATGGCTGCCGCAGTGAAACTGCAGCATAACCAGCAGAATCTGACAGGCCAAGATTGAGAGAAGCCTTCACCGAAAGATTGAGGCCGTCTGTCAGGCTTTTTGGGACAACCCTCACTTACCCATCCTGTGCCGCGGACAACCTTGGAAGCAGTACCGGTTGCTTGTTCCTCATCTGGGCTGGGAGCCCAAATGGAGTCCTCTCCAAGCTGCAGTCCATATACCCGCTGGGAAGCCCGTACTCAGGAAAACCTGTGGGCCCACGATCCATCCACTCAAAGCAGGAGGATCCCTGGTCTAAGGGCACTGGCACCCTCCACGGCCCAGAGCCGCAGCTACAGGGAACCGCTGCACTCAGAGGTACTGACCACCCGCCTGCCGCACATACGGCACTGTCCAACATGCCCTGTGTGGACCAGAGGGAACAAGACACCTTACACGGAGACAAACTCTCTGCTTTGGCCCGCAAGTGGTGTGGGATGATCTCAGCCGACTATATCTGCTTCTGTACCTCGCCTTTTGCCATAAAAATCTTAATTAATTATATGCTCAGCGATGATATTTGCTGGTTTGCCTAACACTCCACTACCTGCCATCACCCAGTGGCACCATTGGGGTTATCCCGGTCCCCACGGGTGACCACCACTGACAACTGCCGAGCCCAAACACGAGCCAGGCCGCAGAACACAGCCCAGAGGGAGCGCTCCAAAATGCCGGATAGCCCGCAACCACATGGGCATCCAAAGAGCGACCTGCCACATAATGCGGAGCCCCCCAAAGGCAGAGCCGACTTGTGGACCTCACATGCCCCCGAGACAAGCCAGCAACCCACCTTAAGCGGCTACCAGTTCCGGCAAAGAACCACAAGTGGAGAGACAAAAGGCAGGGACAGAGGGGGTTCCCCTTGGGCACCCCTAATGCACGGACCACACAACCACACCAAACGAGCCCAACCCAGCTGAAGACAACCAGGAGCTCCTGCCCTGAATGCCAAACTCAGGCGCGGAAGAACCGTGACCACGGGAGGAAACTCCATAATGGGATCCTTGACAACTCCTACACGGGGAAGGACCGCGGCCCATATTGGAAGCACTCGAAACCGCGAGCCAAAGAAGCAGGCCCCCAGGATTACCCAGGGCTCTGAAGAGGGCTTAATTGAACTCTGTCACCGGGCCTCCTACAGCCCTATATGCCTGCAACCAAGCCTAGGCATCAGCTAATTCTGGACACTAACTATGGACTCTATGATGCCGTACCTGCAAACACTGAAATAAACGGTATCCACTGACTCACACACACTCTGACTTACCTGACATCCAACCAGCATAACCAGTAGGTAAAGCAACCCATAAACGCACAACATGACAACTTCTGGTATACACATGCCACTGCAGACAAAGATACCACGCATAAGCCCTGACAAATACCTCATTAACTGCGTAGACTCCAGACCTGACTAAGGGAGCGACAGCAAATAACCCCACAAAACTCCACGCGTTCCACGGTGGCGCCCAAGGTAGACCAAGCTAGAGTTAAACTAATTATACCAAACAACGTATTAGAGACCAAACACTCATATGATTATAACCAGCAAACATCTTACTTTATGTCATACTAAGTGAAGCAAACTGTAATTCCTAGTCATGCTTGTATTTATGCTCCTGTTGCGTAAACTGACGATACTAGCAGTGAAAACAGCTGGAGCGCCAAATGCGTAATACTCTAATGTTATCATAATATAAAAATTGTGCAGATCTTCTATATGCCATATGTGAAATGTATGTTGACACTGTGCTCGTGACTGCTATTGTGGCACCACGACCCGTTTTGTGAAATCTTGCACACAAAAAATAAAGAATTAATAAAAAAAATAAATGTCATGTTTAACAGCTTGTTATAAATTTTTTTTTTTTAAAGTGCAGTATTTTCGACAAATATTAAGCCTTTTTACTATTGATCAGAATCTTGATGTCATGTTTCTATATGCTTGTACTATTAACACTGCACGAAAAAATAAAGAATTATAAAAAAAATTTAAAAAGGGGGGGGGGTGATAAACACATTTCAGGGGAAAATAAACTATTTACTGTTAACTATCATTCTCCAATTTTATCCCCATGAATTGTGAAGGAATTAAACAGCTCTGCCAGTATGGAAGGCTATAAATCCTATAGAGTAGGATTGTTCCTTCCCATTTTGGGGGGGCAGATGATGCAGAGTAATGGCTTATTACACTCTGTTTGCTTTGTTTATCATTCTTTGCTCCCAGTGAAATAAAAAGCCCACCGGGTATTTTTTAATTTTCTTTCACATTATGTTAAAGAATTGATTGTACTTGATACAGTTTATGAGTTACTTCTATAATCATTTCAGATTTTTCTGGATTGTTATCGGGCGATTGAACCTAAATATATGGTAAAATATTTTTTAAAGTCCCATTTCTATTGATAGTGGTCTTGCTCTGTTCTAAGTCTGGTCTAGATGTACTGTACTTAATTAGCGTTTAGCACAGGATTCCTAATGTGTAACCGGTGGATTTCTTTCATTTACACTATTTTTTTCTTTCGTAATTTGTTTTAGATTTTCCACATTGGTTCTCAAATCATCATAACTCGCAATTTAGTGAACAGGCCCCCAAAGACTGCTAAATAGAACACTGTCAAATTAATCAATAGTTCAATAAATATTTAAGGGAAACTATACATCACACACACAAATTATATAGCAGAGAGTAGAAGTGTTGCGAAACACATAAATTAAATCGTTTGGGGTAGAATTCCAAGAGATATGTAATCTGGACATAACTCATAAATTTACCATTAAACTACTTTGATCTTTAAGGCAAATTAATTCTAGTAAATCTGCGACTGCTTAATGACCGCGTGGCAGTGAACACAAGGAGTGTGAGAAGATAAGGTATCTGGTCAAGAAATGTCAGTTTCTGTCTGCACATTGATTTACAAATCCACGCAATACTAGGTTAGTCAACAAGATAATTGCCAATAATGGCAGACTGATTGAGAATTTCTACATTTGATGTATGGATTTCAAATCCCCTGTAATTCCTGCAAATTGCAAGTAGCAAAAACGGCGTAAAAGTTAGCAATTCCCCCGTCTATTCTCAATTCAGTGGAAAACCCTTTTTGGGTTTATTCACAAAGAGCAAACTGTGTGTCAGTTTTTTTTTTTTTGTATCTGGGGGTTTGTGTATGTCAGGCTTTATGCACCTTGTGGCTGTTATATAAGCTGTGAAGTCTTTGAAAGCTCTGGGATAGTGCTGGTAAGGATAAGCACCTACGTGGAAGGCCTTTGTCATGGGCTGAGCGTGCGTTAGCTGGCTGGCAATTAAGAGTGGTGCTTTTGCGTGCACTATGTAGGGGTACAGGGATATGCTGAACTAGGGCTTCATCGTAAGCCTACGGAGCCAAGTCAACTTGTGTTAATTGTATGATAATGCAACAAATCTAACAAACTGATTAACATATAATAAAGTTGAGGACATATATATCTGCAGCTGCAGAATTCAGGTAGGTTGGGTGGGTATCTATAGCCTTTCTGCTCTGGGTACAAAAGGGGTGATTCCTGCAACAGTCCAGGCTGGACTATCCGACAGCATGGCCTTCTCCGCTGGGAGGCCCAGGGACTGCAGGAAGGTTGGTGCTTCTGTGAGGTGCAACATGGTATATGCCTTGCCTGCTTTGTCGGCTACTATTTGTTGGGGGCCCCATTTATAGTTGATGGCATTGTCCCGGAGAAGTTGGGTAACTGGCTTGAGGGACCTCCGCCACCTCAGTGTATGTCTAGAAATGTCCCGGTAAAATTCCAGCTGTGCCCCTTTGAATAAAATCGTGGGAGAGGCCCTGACTGCCCCAATAATCACCCCAGGCCTGTGGGGTGGTGTGCAGGAAAGTCCCGATATCTCTGGAACCCGAGCCCGGGTCTGAACGCTGTTTTTAATTTTTCTTCCCCATTGCAATGGGAATCCGGCTGCTGCTTTCCGAGCCCAGTGGTGGGGCCGGTGTCGGTAAATAAGCTGGTTTATCAGGTCTGGCGTGCAGAGCTGTCTCGATATGCTTCCAGCTTGTGCAGGCGCTGGCTTCACCTCCTTCATTCACATATTTTTGTTTTACTGTTTATTTATTTATAAAATATTTTACGAGGAAGGATACATTGAGATTTCTGTCGTTTTCAAGTATGTCCTGGGTTCACAAAACATTGAATTGTTACAATAGGGTACAATGTTAAAAAATAATAATAATACAATATATATACATGCACACATATATAAATTTAACACCTAACAGGTAATAAATATATTCAACCATGACAGGTGCATTCTGTGCTGAGGTGTATTGCCATAAATCTCTTAAACTTTTTTAGATTGAATGAAGATTTGACTGTGTCCCTGAGGTTATTCCATAATTGTGGTACACTGTAGGAAAATGAGGATCAAGACACTTTATTTTTGTTTTACTATAGTAATCCAAATATCCAGGGCGCAGTAAGTTTACCTTGCAATTTTGGCACTTTATTTCAGCCTGATGTAAAAGCAATGAATGTGTCATGAAAAACACACAATATTCGTTAAGGTAAGTTAAATCACCCCCTTTAAGATGCAAACATTTCCGTTGAGCTTCTGAAGTTATCTGCTTTTAAGGAATTATTATAACCGTGGTCAGAAACAAATTAAATATAATTAAATTAATTGGGTGACTAACTCAATTAACATAGGCCTCATAGCTTTCTGGGTGTTTTCCTTCGGGCTGTTTAACACACTGAATGCTCTCAGACTGCCTTGGGATATTTACATCTCGCTTAATGAGACACAACCTACTTCCATAGACTCACTTCATTGCCATGGCTTTATGGCTACTAAAGTACTTCAGCCACCTACATACTAGGGGCAATGTGAATGTTCTAAAAGCACAGATTATGGGATAAACTCACAGTGTTATGGAATGTTAAGCGAGCATTGCGATTGGCTGAATTTCTTCTTTTGGTCAGGACTTACGACATCATGGGGAGTTGCAGCAAATGCAAGAGATTGAAATGTGAGTATTTTTGTATATTTTGAGTAGTTTTCCAGTGATCATGGCTTATCAGTGGGTAACTAATTTGTGACATCCCATCTCTTTCACTTCCAGAACCACCAATATAAAAAATGGCTATACGAGTAATGCAGGCTGTTTAACATTTACAAATGGTGAAGCTTGGAAATGGAGGAAAAAAGAATCGGAAAATAAGATAGAAAAAGGGAAAGTGAGGAGTTGAGGAAAATTAAATTATGATTAAGAAGAGGGAAATAAAATGGAGTTATGGGATTAGAATGAAGGTAGCTGTGGCTGTTTATTTCATTAGGGCCGGGGTTTGGGCATAAACAAGAGAGGGCCTTCAGTATAGAGTTTTGCCTTGGACTCAAGCCCCAGGTCATTATTTGATGTAGCTACGCCCCTTCTATACACGATTATGCCCCCCTAGTCTCCTTGCTGGTTTAAGATATGGAAGCCTACCAGAGTTTAACAAGGTACTTAGGGATCTATTCTCAAACTGCTTGCAACAGCCTGCAGCACCTGAGAATTCTGCTTGGTGGCTCCCCTATTAAACATTAATCTCTAAAATTCCCAAAGTTACAATAAGCTATATATTCATCGCGTTCCATGGAACCTCTGCTCAGGAGGTCAATTTTTTGGGAATTTTTCCGTGTCTAGAAATGCCAGTGCTTTGCCATCAGTATCAACTCTTTACAAGGGGCCCAAATCTCACATCGAATAATGTTACAAGATGAAATCCTCACAGAGGTTATTGTGTGGCCTATCAGGGTAATTCGGCCCTGCTTACATTGCCCTGGTAACATACTGGTGTTATTAGGTGCTAGAGGATTAACCCTATGTTGAGTCACTTAACTTTAATCTTATTACAAGTCTGAGGGACGGTTGACTAAGAAGGTAATAAAATAGGAAGGAGATGCATCCTCGATGAAAATAAATTAAGAAAGTATCTTGGGGACGTTTACAGCCACATTAAACTCAATTCAAATCATTATCAAGAAGTGCTGGTAGTACGTTACTTTATAATTTATACACTGCTTTGCTATTAGCATATACAATGGAGTTTGGAA